ACTGTGGGCCCCTTGTGTCCCTGCTGGGGGGACCCTAGTACTGGTCTCTGTCTGTGGCCAGCAGGGGATCTGCAGACCTGTTTGATCAGGGTGTGCAGGGCGCTGAGGCCCCTGGCTGAGGCATGAGTGTATCGGGATCTAGTACCCTCCTTCCCAGCACCTGGTCCCAGCCTGAGCTTAGGGAGCCATGGGGCCAGGCTAAGCAAGGGCCCAGGAGCCACTGCCAGCTGCTGCCCCTTTAGAGGGGACACCAGGAATGAGGACCAGGGCTGAGCCTGAGCTGCCCTGTGGTCGTGCTCGGCCAGCTCCCAGCGGGGCCTGCCCAGGTGATGACTGCTCCCCCTGGGGTCCCGGTCAGACAGTGCGGGCACACATGTGCCCCTGCCTCCAACTGTGAGTCAGCCCGGCTGGGTCCTGCTGTGACTGGGACCAGCAGCACTCACCGAGCAGGAGTCCTCTTTGCGGTCACACTCGTCACAGAAGTACTGGTTGTCCCCCGTGAACCACTCCTTCTGGAACAGCCCCTTCACAGCCTTGTCCTGGGGACCAGAGGACAGCTCTAGCAGGCGGAGGGGACCCAAGAGGCCCCTGGGCAGAAGCCAAAGGCCCAGCTGAGGCTGCTCATGGGGTGCCACAGCGGGGCTGTGTCTCCTCACGTGACCTCTGCACAGTCAGCGCAGTGCTTGTCAGCACGGCCCCGCCACAGACACCCTGCCGCTCCGGTCCTCCAGCCTGGAGGCAGCAGGGACACCTGGCACGACGCCTGGGAGAAGCATTGTCCTGGCAGGTGGGGGTGTGAGGCAGGGCAGGAGCGGTGGGGTGGCCCTTACCAGGGAGCACGGGGTGCCTGCGGGTCCTTGCGGGACAGGCACCACGAGGAAGAGCCGGGCTTCCTCCAGTCCAGTCTTGGTCTCACAGCCCTGGCACTGGGTGACTTGCTCGAGGGTCATCTGGAACAGCTGTGACGGAGTGTCCACTCAGCGAGGGCAGCAGGACACTGTGGCCACAACGTGAGTGCAGGCCCACAGGGAGGGGGCACTGTCTCCAGTTCCTGAGGGTTTTCTGATGCTCACACAACATCGGGCCCTGCTCACTGGGCTGCCCACCCCCATGCTCTGAGCCTGCAGCCTCAGCAGAAGTCCCGTGGGAACAGGGCACGGGAGACCAGATCAGAGGGTCTCTGGGTCCTGTCCCCCATCGCTGTGACAGCAGCTCACTCATCCTTCCTCCAAGTGCCCCAATGAGCCTCCTTGCCCACATGTGAAGGGACCTACACAACTGGCCTTAAGCAATGTCCACTGCCCACCTGGGGCTGGACTCTGAGCCCCCAATTCCTTTTATCTCTCCCTCACAGGCTGCCCCAGGGTCTAACTCCCAGCTCCCTGTCCAGGCAGGGGCAATGGCTATGTCCCTGGAGACGCTGGGGTGGCTTGTGGGCTCCCAATTCATTTTTGTATTTGTTGTCCTGGGGGCACCTGGCTCTCCCACTCTGTCCGGGTCTCCCAGTGTTGGTTGCTTCAGCCTCCTCTTCCCAGTTGTCACCTGATCTACTCCAGACACCTGCCTGTACCTATCCCCCATGCTCCGACACGGCCCCCGGTCCTTATCCCTTTTCTCAGCTGGAAAACCAGGGGCCCTGAGTGCTCATGGCTGTGCGGGGAGCATTGGGAGCCCCTGCAGCCCACCCCACTCCCAGGCCCCTCACCTGCCCCAGCTCCCTCTGCTCAGCAGTCATCCTGGTCAACAGCATTTGGAAGCACAGCAGGGCATCCTCCTGGCGGTGCACTGCCAGACAGGAAGGGAGACAGGACAGGAGAGGGTCCTGGCTGAGACCCTGCCCTGCCCACTGCCCCCTATCCTCTGCCCCTCCACTGCCCCAGTCTCCCCAGGGTGGCCTCCCCAGTGAGGCACAGGTGGGAATCCCCGGCCCAGACAGGCGGTGCTGGAGCTAGTGGTGAGGAGGGCAGCCCGGGCAGGGACCAGGGGCTGTGGGCAGCAGCCCCAGCCCTGGGGTGTCTGTCCTGCCCAGTCAGCTCTCACCATCCCTGAGCCCCAGGCAGCGGGTGATGGCGGTGGTGGACACGGGTCCCTGGGACTCCTCCAGGGCCTCAAAGAGCCTGCGCAGCTGTGTGACGAGGCTGGACTCCCCCTGGTCCTCGCATCTGCAGGGGCCCGAGAGAGAAAGCAAGGCCAGGCTCGGCTGAGAGCCCCTGCAGGGCGGCCACCAGCCAGCCAGTCTCCTCAGACCTGCGGGGCCACTGCCACCCTCTGCCTCTGTGGGACCAGGCCACCCAGCTGCAGTCAGCCAGGGACTGCTCCTGGCCTCCTCTAGCAGGGGGTGGGGGAGAGTGCCGGCCTTGGGGTCTCAGAGCAGAGCTAGAGGGTCCTGCAAGGGAGGAGGGGCCCCCTCTAACACCACTCATCTGCCGGCCCTGCTGGGAGTTGAGGTTTGGAGGAGCCAGACCCAAGTGACCTGTCCCTCTTAGCTCTCAGCTAGAGGTCCAGCCCACCTGGTGGCACAGACTCACCCCCAGCGGCCCAGCCTCCCCCTCTCAGAGCTGGAGAAAGCACTGGTACCTAGAGGCAGCAGCTGCGCTCAGCTCCAACCTCACTCCCTGCCCCAGAGTCATTGCCCACTCACAGACCCTGCAGGACTGGGTGGAGCAGCCCCGGGCAATGCCCAGACTCACTCTCAGGGAGTAGAAAGCCCTGCCGCGTGGTTTCAAACTGCTGACCGTGGGCTCAGCAGCAGCCCGACAGATAAGCACTAGGACACGGGTCTCCTGGGGTCTGCTGTGGGGCCCCCGGAAGCAGATATGCCAGGTGGTGCTTAAGGACAGGGGTCCTCCCAGCCCACTCCCCTTAGAGCCAGTTTGCCTGCCCTGCCCTCCCCTCAGCTGCCCCACCTGCGGACAGCGTCCTGGAGCTCCTGCGTGAAGAAGAGACACTGCAGGATGCTGTTCAGGTAGCAGGTGGCACCCTGGTTGATCAGACCTGCGTACCCTGCAGAGAGGACCACAGGGTGGGGTCAGCTGCAGGCTCAGGCAGATGAGGTTGGTGAAGGGCCAGCCTGGTGATGGGGGCCTAGGACCAGGAGGGAGGGCTAGGGTCATTCCATGGCCTCTCTAGTTGCTGAACCCCAGTCTAGACTGGCCCCTGGCTGGGAGACTCACCTGGGTGCTGGGCTCTGGCATTTTGGTGACCTTTGACCTCATCTTTCTCCCAAATCTTCTGTCTGGTCACCTCCTGGTCTTCTCCTGAGCTGACCTCCTGAGAACCAGGCTGGCCATTCTTCCCATGTTTCTGGAAGGAGCAGGAGCAGAAGAAGGGGTCAGTCCATGGGTCCAGGAAGGGCAGCCTTTGTACTCTGCAGTCCAGCCCCTGAGATATCCTTCGAGTGGGCAGGACGGTGAGCCTGGAGATGCCAAGGCATTGACTACTCCCCAAGAGGTCCAAATCAGAGAGTGTTGGCACACGGGTGCCCCTGCATGCAGCTGTGAGTCTGAGTTATGGGGTCTATGCATGCCCTGCTCTGCCGGGAACCAGCCTAACTCACCGAGCAGGCATCCTCTTTGTGGTCACACTCGTCACAGAAGTACTGGTTGTCCCTTGTGCCCCACTCCTTCTGGAACAGCCCCTCCACAGCCTTGTCCTGGGGACAAGAAGACAGCTCCACTAGGGGGAGGGCACCCAAGAGTCCCCTGGGCAGAAGCCAAAGGCCCAGCTGAGGCTGCTCATGGGGTGCCACTGCGGGGCCCTTGCCCCTCACAAGGTCTCTGCCTGTGACATCAGAGACCCCAGGCTGGGACGCCTGGGAGAGGCATTGTCTGAGGAATCGGGTGCGTGAAGCTGGACAGGAGTGGCAGGGGGGCTCTTTCCAGGGAGCACGGGGTGACCGCGGGGCCCTGTGGGACAGGCACCCCAAGGAAGAGCCGGGCTTCCTCCAGCCGCGTCTTGGTCTCACAGCCCTGGCACTGGTGACTTGCTCCAGGGTCATCGGGAGCAGCTTTGAGAGTGCGTCCACTGAGTGAGGGCGCCAGGACACTGGCCACCCAGTGCATGCAGGCCACAGGAGGGACACTGTCCACATGTTCCTGAGGTTTTTCTGATGCTCACCCAACCTCGGGCCCTGCCCACCCCCAG